GGAGTATGAACATATAGGGGGGAGTTATGGGGTTTTATATTTAACCATAGCTTCTACAGGGGTACATGAGGTCGTACTTTCTTTTATTATTAATGCGCTGGAATTCCGTCACAAGTGTGACATAGTAGGTGTCAATTGGGGTAGCTCCTTAATTGAAAGCCCAATATTTTAAAAGGGTTATGTAAGGAAGGAAACCTGTTCGACGCGTTATGCAAAGCTATTTATTAATAAATTAAAGTAGAGTCATGAGTCAAAGGTGAGTTGACTTGTATGTGTATGGCAAGCATGTATTATTTATTTATTTACTTATTCATTTATTTATTGTCTATTTCTAGGATATTCATGTTAGTGTGATTGTTCCTATTGGTGCATATGTACTAAGCTTTTGCTGATTTGTACTTGGTTGTTTGTGTTTGGCTTTTCTTTGTATTAGCCCTACTATGACACATTTTATATGGCAAGTAGTGAGGTTGAATGTAATACCCTGTATTTTTATACGTATTTTAAGTTAAATAAGTATTTCTTAAAGTATTTAAATAATTCAAAATGAATTATTTATGGTTTTTCATTAATTTAAAAAGAATTATTTTAATTAAAAAATTTATTATTAATAATCTTGAAAATATTTTATTTCATGATTTGGAAATATTGGGACATATTATTTTATAAAAGGAAATTTTAAAGTCAATGAGTTTTTAAAGAAAGTCAAAATACTAGTTTGACTAGTAAAGAGATCATTAAAGGTAGTAAAGGAATTTAAGTAGGAGGGTTATTGAGAGAGGGTATAAATACCCATCATATGCCTAAGGTGGAGTGCATCCAAAGTTAAACTCTCTCTCTTCTCTTATTTTCTTTTTCCCTTAATTTTTCCCCTTCCCCTTTATTTTATTTTATTTTTGCTTCAATCATCACCCACACACACACCACCACTCGCCGGCAGTAGCAGCCACCAGGCGGGTGCGGCAGCAACCGACCTTGGTGTTTGTGTGCCGGTGGTCGAATGAAAAAAAAAATTCTTTTATTTTTAATTAAATCTACCCTTAATATAATTATTGTTTTTGGGTTTTGTGATGATTTTATGATGTTTGATGATAAGTATTTTGTATATAAATTTTCAGATTTGGTTTTTAATTAAAAAGCCCCAAATTGAAAACCCTAGGTTTCTAAATTAATGTTTATTGATGGAAATTGTTTATGGGTAATTTGAATTATTGAAATAAGTGTTTTAAAACACAATTACAACAATTTTAAATGATTTAATAAAGCTAGAATTTTTATATATAAGCTATAATTAAGTTTTTTGAAAGGATTTTTAATTACCCATTAATTGGGAATAAAAATAAGGGTTTTAAATTAAAATTTAGCTTGTTTTAGAGGATTTATGAGTGATTTAAAGAGTGTATATATTGCTGGAAATTATGTGGAATAGGTAATAATTCCTCTTTGTAATTTTGGTTTGTAGGAGACTTCCAAGTGAGTGGTTTTATTTAGTCGTGGCGATTTTGAGATCATATTCAAAATACGTTCACGTACTTGGTAATTATTTGAATATGTAGAAGCATGCTAGGCTTTGTTTAATTAATTCCAAGTAGTATCATGATAGGTGTTGGTTGGAATTTGTTGATTGGATTAATGTTGGTAAATGATTTGTGATGTATGAATTATTTACGATGAATTGGTGATTGGAATTAATTATGTTGGGATGTTTGATTATGAACCACACTTTTATTGTTGGCATGATAGAGAGCATGTTTAATTAAACTAAATATTTAATTTGATTTGGAATATGAAAAGAAAATTTTATTATGGTTCATATAATTTTTATTAATGTTATAAGCATGAGGAAGGAGGTATTTAAGTGTCTTAGTACACAGGAATAAATTATATTGCGGTGCCTATGGGCACTTAAGGTGTTTCTAACACCAAAGGATAGAATTTTGCGATGCATTATGCGTTTAAGGTGTCTTTGACACCGAGGTAGAATAAAAAGGGTTCAACAATTAAATTTATGTGGTCACTAATTATTCAAGAATTAAATTGGTATGTTTGATTGCTTGAGTGAAGTATAACGTTTGATTGTGTTATGGTTTGAGAGTCATTACCAAGTATAATAATATGTAAACAACGTAAAGTGAAAGAGATTACGCACCAAAACTCTTGGAACATATATACCTTGAGTATGAACATATGGGGGAAGTTATGGGGTTTTATATTTAACCATGACTTCTACTGGGAGTACAGGACGCTGTATTTTTCTTTTTATTTATTTTATGCGCAGGACGTCCAGTCACTTAATGTGACATTTGCCTGCCCGATTAGCTCCCGGTGTAGTTTACCTCAATTTATTTGGGGCAAGGATTTGGTCGGAAACCCGTTCGATGCGTAATCAAATTAAATAAGCAATTTATTTATTTATTTATTAGTTGGCCGTTTAGTATGTTGTATGCTTGTAAACAGGTGCAATAAGGTAAGTGGTGTGATGATAGGATGAAAGCATGTTAGTGTGTATTTATTACGCTTATGTACTCAGCATTGCTGATTGTGTGTTGTATGTTTATTTGGCCTTATATTTACCTTGGCCCTATGACGACCCATTTCTAATGGCGAGTAGTGGGGACAAGTAGAGAGAAGCTTTTTAGGTGATGAAGCATGTTCATAATGGACATGAGTGAAGAGCGAATTATGCTTAGTTTCCATAGGAATATGATGTGTTTTATTTGCTTTGAATATTATTTATTTTATTATGGTCATGAGACTAACGCAAAGGTTTTCAGTATTGTTTGGTTTTAAGGGCCTACAATGGTTTCAAGTTGTAGGTTGACTTTGTTTGACTTTACTTTCTTCTGGTTTGACTTTTAAGTTGACTTGTTTTGAATGGTTTTAAAGAAAGTATTCCGCTATGTGTCTTTGATATTTGCCTTAACCGTTTTCACGGTGGCGGTAATGTCTTAAATTTTCTTATTTTGTATTCTAAAAGGGCAAAATAGGTATTTTAAAGGAAAGGAATTTCTAGGGTGTTACATTAAAATAAAGAGGAGTACAGGTAGAAGGAGCATTTCAAGCATGATGGGATTGTACGAAGAGGGTTATATGTTTCATTGTTTTGTTTCTTATTGTATTAGATTATTTATGTAATTTTTGATACTAACATATAATCATTGTTGTAATATTTTAGTTTGGTTTTAAAGGGCCTTTAATGGTTCTAAGTAATTTGTTTAATGAAAGTTGGTTTTGAAGTTTGAGTTTGTTTTATTAAAGTTTATTTTATTTGAGTTTCAAAAGTTAGTCTTCCGCTGTGTTACTTTGAAAAGCCTTAGCCGATATCACGGTAGCAGTATATTTTGGTTATTTCCTAAGTTTATGTTTTATTTTAGAGAAAAAGGGTATTTTAAAAAAATAAAGTTTCCAGGGTATTACACTAATAGGCTCAATAAGCTAAAAACTCTTCAAAGGTTTGGTAATTAACTGGTAGCTGATTGATATAACTGTTTGTATTAACTGATTTGACTAGTTGGTTGTAAATATAGCTAATTGTGTAAAAGTGTTTGGTAAATAATTATTAATTGTTAGATGTTCCAGTGTATATAATAGCCAAAAGCTAATTGTTCCAAAAGCTCTTATAATGAGTTTTTTTTCTAAAAGCTCTATAAAATAAGCTAATTACCAAATACCCAAATTAGCTTTTTATATTGGTCAAACATGTAATAAGGCTCCATAAACTAAATTCTCTTTATCAAACAAGACCTTTATAGTGTTTGGTAAAAAGCTTACTGAAAGAGATTTTTGGGCTTAAGATGACTCTTTTTGAAAAAGCTCAAAATATAAGCTTTTTTGAATTAGCTTATTGAACATTTGCTTTTTGGTTATTTCATATATTAAACAGCTAATAATTAACATTTATTTATCAAACAATTGTAAACATCCCACTATTTACAACTAGTTAATCAAAACCAGTTAATACAACCAATTAGTCAAACCTGCTAAAACAACAAGTTATATCAATCAGCTACTAGCTAATTACCAAATAATTTTTCAAAAAGCCCTCATATTAATTTTTTATTTTTTTTTAAAAAAGAGTTGTTTAGTCCCAAATAAAACTCCTTCAAATAGCTTTTTATCAATAGGTCATAATTTCACAACTCCAATTTGTTACTCACTTCGTCCCTTAGTTAAAAGCATATATTCCTTTTTTGAGAAAACCAAAATTGCATGTCTATTCTATTTAAAGAATGTACTTTTTGACAATATTCCCTCTTTTGATGAGTTGTCATCATTTTTTCATATATATATATATATATATATATATATATATATATATATATATATATATATATATATATATATATATATAGGGGAGGGATCCGGTAAGAACCCCTCCTTATATAAGAACCCTAGTTATATAAGAACCAATCTCAGTCGTAGGATTAAGGTAATTTAGACGGTTAAGATTAAAACACGTATTTTTCCTCATACCCACTACGGCCCTACCACCCGATCAAAATTTTCTCTCTCCTCTAACTTTCTCTCTCTTCGTGCTCATCTCATTCTCTCTCTGCAAACCCCCAAAAATCTCCATAGAAATTGCAATTTTATGTTTTTTTTTTTTCGATTTTGTTCAAATTTCCATGAACTTAGCATGTTGTTCAAGTAGATTTTGCGATTTTTTGGTTTGCTTTTTGCGATTTTATGTTTTCCAATTTTTTGATTTGATTTTGCGTTTTTTTTTTTCGATTTTGTTCAAATTTCCATGAACTTAGCATGTTGTTCAAGTACATTTTGCGATTTATTGTTTTGATTTTTGCGATTTTATGTTTTCCGACTATTTGATTTGATTTTGCGATTTCGTGATTTGATATTTGCGTTTTTATGTTTTTTTAGTTCGATTTTTCGATGATTTTTTCGATTTTAATGGTTTTTCTGTTTTCGATTTCTATGGTTTTTTTGATTTGTTTTTGATATTTCGTGAGTTGATATTTGCGTTTTTTTAAAATGTCTGCTAAATGCTCGATTTCGTTAGTAAGCGAAATTATAGCTATGAATATGAATATCCAGTATTTCTTAAAATCACTGTTTTTTTTCTTGTTGATGGATATGTATCTGGTATTTGTTGTTGATGGATATGTGTGATAACACTCTTCCGTCAATGTTATTGAATGACTTGAAATCGACTTTGAGTTTGATGAGTAGTGAGTCTGAGTCATCTTTTGGATTACCAATGGACACAATACGAGTGACCGGGATTGTTGTACATGTTGCCTTGATTTGGTGACTATTGTTGTCATTGAGAGGAGAAGCCATGTTTGTATGAAGATTTTGTTGCATATGGTGGTATGGATGGTGGCTATTGTTGGCTATTGTTGTCATATGGTGGTATGAAAATTAATGAGCAAGCATAGCTTGAACAACTTGGCATTACTTATTCTGCTTGCATCAATTAGTCATGTCTAAAAACAAATCTGGCTTATTCTCTATGTTCTATTTTTTCTTATTTTTCTGGATCTATAGTTCGAATTTAGTGTTCGATTTTTGCTGATTTTTTCGATAGCGGCTAGCCTGGCTAACCTAAAAGAACAATGCATATAGTACTTCGTAGAGTAAATAAAAACTGTAAGAGTATAAAACCCTCTCCCACTACGCCAAAAATGTGGGCTCTGACCCTCTGAGTCCTTACAGTACTTTTTATCAAGATGTCAGACTGAAGATTAATTAGTTCTGAAAGGTTTTGCAGAACAATCATATATAGTGTACAATATAAAATTCTGTCATGCCCAATTCACAAACTTTTTTTCAAAATTGGTGATGTTGGTGCGATTGCCCCTGTTTGTAGGGGTTGTAGTGTGGTGGTTTATTTATGCAACAGCAGCTAATTGGTTAGGGGTTGTTGGTAGTAAACTTGTGATTGCAAGGCTGAAAATAAACTTTAGAACATAGGTAGAAAAAATTTGGAACATAGGAAAAAATTAGAACATAGGTTGAAATAATTTAGAACATGGGCTGAAAATAAACTCAATCAAACCTTATCATGTTTCTGTTTCATTTGTCTTTTAAATTTCTAGTTTACTCATTCTATTTTGGGTTTTTCACTCTCCAGCATGTTCTAAACTCTTTTTTAGCATGTTCTAAACTATTTTTCAGCATATTCTAAATTATTCCTATGTTCAGAAATATAATAATAATGTTGGAATGTTACTAATGTTTTTGATTTCTTAAAATTGCAGCAAAATGCAAGGCCAAAATGAAGAAAAATCAGAAGGAGGAGTTACTAATATACAAGAAGAAGAAATTACTTATGTAAGAAAAAGGTAACTAAACTATGTTCTAAATTTTACCTATTATGTTTTAAATTTTGTTCTAAAGTTTTCCAATATGTTCTAAAGTTTTCCCTTAAGTTCTAAAGATTTGTATTATGTTCTAAAGTTTTCCATTATGTTCTAAAGTTTTCCATTTTGTTCTAAAATTTTCTCTTATGTTCTGAAGATTTGTATTATGTTCTAATATGTATCCATTATAGTTTATGTTCATCTTATCCCTTTATATTTGCACTCTATTTAATGTTAGTTGTATTCTAATTATTTTTTATTGTTTTTAAAGGAAAGTTGAAAACGTTGAAGCGGAAGTAATCAATAGATCGAAATTTGAGAAGCATATTGAAAGTAAAAGTGTTGCTATAAGACATAGAAAACTTCCAACAAGGCTTCAACCACCTCGAAAATTGCAAAAAAAGGAAGGAAGAGAAAAAGATCAAGAAGAACGAAAAGATCAAAAAGAAGAAGAGGGTAATAATGTTGAGGATGATGACGAGAATAATGATAGTGAAGATGATGGTGAGGATGATAATAAGGGTGATGTAAAGATGAAAGTGAAAGATGAAAAAGAGGAGATGGAAGATGATAGTGAGGAGGAACAAAAAATCAATAAAAAAAATCAAACTCAGGTAATAATACTCTTTAATCTTTACAATCTTTATTTTTATGTTCTAAAGTGCACGCTTATGTTCTAATTTTGCTTATCTATGTTCTAATTATGTTTATCTATTCATGGTGAGGATGTGAAGAAGAAGAAAAGAAAGATTGAAAAAGAAGAAGATGGTGAGGATGTCCAAGTAGTAGAAGCTAATGAGCAAGATAAACTAGTTAAGAGGCAACCTTATCAAAGAGTACCTCCTACTCAATTCATGAAGGATGTGTTGATAAATCTTTCGGAAAAACAAAATCAAGCTATTCAGAACATTGGTTTTGGAGGCATTTTGGAATTGGATTTACCAATCCATATTAATTCTATGTAAGTAGTAGAATGTTATGTTCTAAAATCATATTCTAAAATCATAAGTATTATCAATGTTATGTTCAAAATTATGATTTGTCATGTTTGAATTGCTATACACTAATGTTCTAAATTATAAGATTATGTTCTAAATTAGTTATGCTCTAAATTTTGTGCATATGTTCTAAATAATATGATTATGTTCGAAATTAGATATGTTCTAAATTATGTGCATATGTTCTAAATTGTATGATTATGTTCTAAATTATGTGCATATGTTCTAAATAATATGATTATGTTGTAAATTACTTATGTTTTAAAGTTACTTCTTGTATTCTAAAATTATGATCTCTCATGTTTGAATTGCTATACACTAATGTTCTAAATTAATTTTTTGTTATGTTCTAATGTATGTTTATTATGTTCTAAAATAGACTTTTTTTATTATATAATGTTCTAAATTATGTTCAAAGTTTAAATATTATACTAAATGTTTTAATCTTCTATTTTCTAAAGATTGACTATTATATTCTAAATATAGTTGTATTGTGCTTTAAATCTTACATTTTTCATTATAATTCTAGGTTGACAGAAAACTTGGTTACGAATTTTGACACGGAGAGATGTTGTTTGATATTACCAAAGAGAAAACAAGAAATCTTTTTGGAGGCAATTGATGTTCATTTGGCTTATGGGTTGCCATTGGGAGGCAAAAGGATTGAGCAACCAAATGATGAGTCAAATCTGAAATGGAGCAAGTTTCTAAAAGCTTGGAGAAGCAAGTTTGGCCTCAAAAAAGTATGATGATATAATGTGGTTATGTTTTAAATTTTATGTTCTAAAGTATGAATTTTATGTTCTAAAATGTAGATCATTTATGTAGTTATTTGACTTGTAATGTTCAAAATTATATTTAGCTATTTTTATGATATTATATTGGTATAAGATGGTTATTGTTTGGGGGTTTTCTGTGTCCTTCGGGAGAGTTACAATTTCCTAGCAGACTTCCTTCTTACGCCTGTACCTGCACCTAGCCGACTTCCTTCTTGCGCCTGTACCTGCACAAGTAACGGAGACTCCGGATGGGGGGTGGGAGTTCCGCCTCCGAAGATTAAGTTAGTATCTTTTCGAAGTGGAATAAGAACAGCAAAAGCTTCTCGGTTCGAGAGCGTTTCCGTAGGTTTGGACTTTGTTTGTTTTTTTTTTGGTTGCAATTAATGTATGTGTCTGTGTCATAAATGAGGTCTACCCTTACTATTTATAGTAAGGGAGAACTGTACCTCAATTAGGGTATAAGGGACACGTGTCTGCAAAGGAAATGGGCCTTTGCAGACCGCTGAAGGATTGACACGTGTCAAGCCTTTATTGGGCCACGTGTCTTAGGGTATTTTCACCCTAAACATCTGCCCCTCACAGATGAGATGTGGCAAACTCACGTGTCATCTGTGACAGACGTAGGGTGCATGGGGTAAGTGACGGTTCGTCTGCTTCCCCCCTTGAATTTCAAATTTTCGTGCAGAAGGTGACTGTTCGCCTTCTGCCTCTTTCTATAAGTAGGGTGGCTACCTCTTTCCTCCGCACTTTTTATTTTCAAAAATTTCCTGAGAAGCTTTGATACCGGCTGCTTCTTTCAAGACTTTCGAGCATCCGGTTTTCGCAAGAACTTGACATCTGCCTTCCGGCTGAGTGCGGATTTAGTAAGGTACCGTCTGCTTTCTCCCTCTTTGCCCCTAGATTAAGGACCTCACTCGGCATTTTGCCGCCTGGGTATATTTTGTCCGAAATTTCTGAATTACCCCTACCTCATCCGGGATTTCCCGTGTGAGGTTTTTGAAATATTTCCCTTGTAAAATGCCCTCATCCGTCATTTTTAATTGCCCCCATCCGGCGTCTAACCGTATGGGGGTTGTTTGAGCAGCCTTTAGCTTTTTCTCAAACATACAAATAGCCCCCATCCGGCTTTTAACCGTATGGGGGTCGTTTGAGCAGCCTTGGCTCAAACTGTTTCAAATTGCCCCCATCCGGCTTTTAACCGTATGGGGGTCGTTTGAGCAGCCTTGGCTTTTTCTCAAACGTTGTTTAAATTGCCCCCATCCGGCGTCTAACCGTATAGGGGTTGTTTGAGCAGCCTTTAGCTTTTTCTCAAACATACAAATAGCCCCCATCCGGCTTTTAACCGTATGGGGGTCGTTTGAGCAGCCTTGGCTCAAACTGTTTCAAATTGCCCCCATCCGGCTTTTAACCGTATGGGGGTCGTTTGAGCAGCCTTGGCTTTTTCTCAAACGTTGTTTAAATTGCCCCCATCCGGCGTCTAACCGTATGGGGGTTGTTTGAGCAGCCTTTAGCTTTTTCTCAAACGTTGTTTTAATTGCCCCCATCCGGCGTCTAACCGTATGGGGGTTGTTTGAGCAGCCTTTAGCTTTTTCTCAAACATACAAATAGCCCCCATCCGGCTTTTAACCGTATGGGGGTCGTTTGAGCAGCCTTGGCTCAAACTGTTTCAAATTGCCTCCATCCGGCTTTTAACCGTATGGGGGTCGTTTGAGCAGCCTTGGCTTTTTCTCAAACGTTGTTTAAATTGCCCCCATCCGGCGTCTAACCGTATGGGGGTTGTTTGAGCAGCCTTTAGCTTTTTCTCAAACATACAAATAGCCCCCATCCGGCTTTTAACCGTATGGGGGTCGTTTGAGCAGCCTTGGCTCAAACTGTTTCAAATTGCCCCCATCCGGCTTTAATCGTATGGGGGTCGTTTGAGCAGCCTTGGCTTTTTCTCAAACGTTGTTTAAATTGCCCCCATCCGGCGTCTAACCGTATGGGGGTTGTCTGAGCAGCCTTTAGCCTTTTCTCAAAAATAAAAATAGCCCCCATCCGGCTTTTAACCGTATGGGGGTCGCCTGAGCAACTTCCAGCCCATCTCTGCTATCCCTCATCCGGGACTCCACCGCTTGGGGGGCTTTTAAATGAGCTTCCAATTAAACATGTCTGATCTATTTTTCTTTCTTTCAGCTTCAAACACATTCGGAGATTTCCGCCTGTGTAGGTTTCAAGCCACCATCTCAGCAAATTCCAACCTCCAAAGGTACCGTCTGCACCCTTTTTCAATTCTTTTTGTTAATTTTCCGGTTGCATAGATAGGATATGGACCCTTCAATTATACACTCGGCACAGTTTACGACTGCTGTCAGGCGGTCACCAGGCACGGCTGAGTCTAGGACTGGGACTGCCGTCTGGGGGTATTTGGGCGAACCTTCACCTACCTCGAATCCGACCGTCTCTGTTCATGTGCAGGACAGAATGGCTCGGATAAGATGGACGGCAGTTGACCCGGATTACAAATCCGACGACGCAGCCGAAGATCCGGCTGATCCCAGAAACGAGGACCAGACGGCAGGACCGTCTGGTGAAATTCCTTTGGAAGAAACCTTGGGGACTCGTCAAGATTCCCCGAGTGGTCCGAGCACACCGGGTGATAGCATATTAGAAGACTCTGATTCTAATGCCGAAGGATCCGGCGATGAATCTGCTGGAGAAGGGTCTGGGTCCGAATCTGAAGCCCCAGCACAGGAGGCTGAGCCTATTGTTGAGGAGGCCTACAAATGGCCGGCTAAGGGGGATCCGACTGACATGACCATGTCAGCAAGAGACGTGGTCACCCTTACTGCAACCCTTCCTGCCTTTCTTTTTAAAAGGAAACCAGTTGGGAAGGACTGGGAAATAAGAGTCCCGCCTGTTAATGCAACCGTCGTATGGGAGGATGACTTGGACCATGCCGATGATTTTTTCGGCTGTTATGAGGCGGCATTCAAAGCAGGCCTCCGGTTCCCCCTTCACCCCTGCATCAAGGACATATTGCTGGGGTATGACTTGGGCGTATGGCAATTGACTCCTAACTCTTGGATCAATATTTTGGGGTACATTGTCGCGTGTGAGCTGCAGGAGGTAAACCCCAGTTGGGAGGCCTTTTCACACATGCATTACCTCAGCCGGGCTCCGGGTGGGTGGAATGCCTGGTACACCCTTACCACCAACCAAGAATACATGATGACTTTGGAGAAGCCATCAAAGTGGACCAACTGGAAGAGCAAATTTTATGTCGTCTCTTCGCCTTCCACTTCCCTAAATCACCGGCTGCGGCGGTATAATAAGTACCCGGCATTACTGGGCAAAAAATGCGCGCTCCCGAAAGTGCCGTCTGAGGCCTGGGACCAAATAATGGAGACGGGTCTCTTCCTCAAAACGACCCATCTGATGGAGGACGGTAGTGAAATCATCGTCCCAAAGTTCTGGGTACCCCTCCCGGAATGGTTAAGGGATGAGTCATTCTTGTCCCTTTGCAATCTAAGTTCAATGTTTAAAAAGAGTAGGTTCATTAACCCATCCGGTATTCTGACACCTGATTATGCATACACGCTCTAACTCGAATTTCCCTTTTTTGCAGGTACAGCTAAAAGAATGGTGCCTCCTGAAAAGACACCTGCCTTCTCAGCTATTGAGCTGAGAAAGAAGCAAATCGAAGAGAAGAAGGCGGCACTGGCCGCCAAGAATGGAGTAAAACCTCTTCCATTTCTTACCGGATGACATATGATCTGCCTTTGTTTCTAACTGATTGCTTTGTTTTGACTATTTTCAGGGTGGAACCCAAGGCATGCCAAAATCACTAGCAAGCATGCACAAAAGACCGGCTGGTGTGATACCTCAGCCGGCTTCAAAAGCTCCAAGGCTGCCGGGTCCACCTTTGGCAGCTAGTCCTGCAAAGAGGACGTCTGACCCTGCCAGGCCAACCACTGCAGGGAAGAGCCTGCAGCTAACGCCGAGTGCTTCGGCGGGCCAGACCCGGATGGGATCTGGCTCAGATGCGGCTGGGGGGGATGGCACCCCACAGCCTGTACAAGGTAAAACCTCTGCCTTTGACCCCCCCTGGCCGCTTGGGCATATGAGAGTCAAAACTCAAGCAAGCCAGTCTGGGGGCTCCTCTGGCAGCCGCATGAATATAGGCGGCGCCTATGCCCAGTATCTGACAGATAACCCTTCCTTTGCAGATGACTCTACCAGCCGGCCCGACTACAACCAATACGCCAAGAGAATGGTCAAGACTCTGACCCGTTCTGAAAAGGAGGCGGTGCCGGCTGTACA